CCCCATGCAAAGTAGAGTTTCGTCGTCCACATGCTAACCAGTCTTGCGTCTCGCCTCTTTACCAAAGCAAAACAAATAGGAATGATGAGTAAAGATTATGCATGGATAATAACAGATAGCATCACAAATGATTTACATTTAACGAATCGTTCTGTCATAGATTCAATGCTAGGGGTAATAGGAGTACAACCTTATGTTCTACAGACAAAGGAGCTGGATGAGTTTAGAATTCGATACAAGAAAAGTTTTATGGAGAGCAACCCAAGAGCCCTTGATGTGGACATTTACGGGCTATGGGCTTATGACTCGGCAATTGCACTAGCCATGGCAGCAGAAAAGGCAATACTAGGAAATACTACATATCGAGCGGCCAACGTGTCTAGAAATTCTACAGATCTTGAAGCCATTGGAGTATCAATAAGTGGACCAGAGCTGATTCAGGCTTTATCAAGTATCACGTTTACAGGTCTTGCTGGAAATTTTCTATTAGTTAATGGCGAACTCCAAGCACCTCCTTATCAGATAGTCAATATAGATGGTCCTCGAGCTAGCGGCATTGGATATTGGACAAAAGAGAGTGGAATTGTCAAAGAACTGAACTTCACAAGTGCAGACAAAAACACATATTCTACTTCCAAGTCGAATCTCGGATCCACTATATGGCCAGGCGACCAATCATCTCCACCTAAAGGTTGGGTGATCCCAACAAATGGGAAAAAATTAAGAGTAGGGGTACCTAATGTTCTCACTAATTTCGTACGTGTTACTTGGAATTCTGACAACTCCACAAAAGTGGAAGGATACTGCATAGATGTTTTTGCTGCGGTGATGGCAGCACTACCATATGGCGTGCCATATGAATACATTCCATTTGGAACACCTGATCACAAGATTGCTGGAGATTACAATGATTTGACCTATCAAGTGTACCTTGGAGTAAGTATCTTCTTTTTTCCTATAATTCTAAATCCAAACACATGTTGATCAACATAGAAAGCTTAAACTAACTTTTTTTGCTGATCGATGAACAGAACTATGATGCTGTGGCTGGAGATGTAACAATCGTAGGAAATAGGTCACAGTACGTCGACTTCACTCTGCCTTATATCGAATCTGGTATTTCAATGATTGTACCGATCAGTGATGGTACGAGGAAAAATGCATGGATATTTCTGAAGCCACTGACTTGGGAACTGTGGTTGACAAGCTTTTGCTCATTTGTTTTCATTGGGTTTTTGATTTGGATTCTTGAACATCGAATAAATGAAGATTTCAGGGGGCCTCTTTGGTATCAAATTGGCATGATATACTGGTTTGCCTTCTCTACCATGGTCTTTGCTCACAGTAAGCCACTTTCCATATTTACACTAAGGTCCTTTTTGCTAAATGTTACATTAAAGCAAATTCCAGGCCATGTTTTGGGGAAGGCGTGATTTTATAAATCATATGGTCAGCTTTAGAAGGTTAAATCTTAATTTATGGATACGTATAATGCTTTAGAAGGTTAAATCTTACTTAATTTATGAATACGTAATAAGATACACAATATTTCCCGACCATTTGCCATTGGTTTTTTTGCAGAGGAGAGGGTGGTAAGCAACTTGGCCCGTTTTGTGCTCATAGTATGGTTTTTGGTGGTACTTATACTAACCCAAAGCTATACTGCCAGTCTTGCATCCATGTTAACAGTCCAGAAGCTGGAGCCAGCAGTTACTGATATTACTGTTCTTATGAGAAACAAGGACTATGTAGGCTACTCAAACACATCATTTCTACATGGATTTCTGAAAAAATATTTTAATGAATCGCAACTTCGGCCATTCTACTCAGACGACCATTTAGATGAACTTCTCTCTAAAGGGAGTGGAAATGATGGAATAGCTGCTGCCTTTCAAGAGATCCCTTATATTAAGATTTTTCTAGGCAAATACGGTTCAAAGTACATGATGGCCGGACCCCCGTATAAGGCAGATGGTTTCGGTTTTGTATGTTTCTGGCCGAATTCTGCTGAAAATACTCTGTATAATACTGTTCATTTTTTTCTCATTCTAAAATCTCTTTTTTCTTCTTTGAAGGTTTTCCCATTAGGTTCTCCTCTAGGACCTGATGTTTCAAGAGCAATTCTGAATGTCACCGATGGCCAAACGATGGAGGAGATTGAGAGGAAATGGTTCGGAGATAAGACAGATAATCCAGATTGTAACACCTTACGTCCACACAAAAATCTTGGGCTAGGAAGCTTCTGGGGACTCTTTCTAATAGCAGGAATAGTTGGAGTTGCAGCCTTAATATTCTACGTGATTACATTCCTAAGTGAAAATTGGAGCGTCATAGAGCGCTCCAGTCCTGAATCCAGTATGTGGAGCAAGATCGTGAAATTACTGCATACGTTCGACAACAAAGATTTGCGATCTCACACACTCAAGGAACTTCAACAGAGTGAGAGAGATTATAATGTCTTTTGTAGTGGTTGTATGGGGAGGGAAATGAATTCACCTCGTGAAAGCTACCAACAAAGCCCACAACATCTCTTATTGGGCTCTCCACGCGTAAATGGCTTACGAAGTCCTGTTTATGGAAGTCCCTCATTTAATCGGAGCTCAGCAGAGAATGCAACTACAAGTCAACAAGGTGAATCGTCTAGGAGGATGAAGGGAAAGATTGAGCTTGCTGATCGGAATTAAAACGAAAAAACAACCTCAACATCCGCACATGGGATTCATTGAGGATGCCAGATAACTTGTTTGAGGAGGTGTTATTGTAACTTATAAATCTGTTTGCTACATGTTTCATTTTATTTTCCTTAAATCCTCTTCTTTGGACTTGCACCAGCAAGTTCTCTTCTGTTTCCTTTCATGTTCGAACCTTTGTACTCTACTATAATTATGAAATATGAATTGGATTCTGTGTTGGTTATCTATACACATCTAAAATTCATCCCGGTTTAAATTTTAGGTTAGGTGCTTCAGTGACACTTGTAGTCAAACTTTTAGTATGAGGGTATTCCTAAGGAGTGTGTCCAAATATAGACCTAAAATCATGTCGTAGAACTCAAAGTTTGTGGTCTTAGAAACTTCTACTCACCCCTTCCACAGTCCCACTAGAACTCCTCCTCGTTAAAGTAAATGCCTACTGAGGGATGCCATTCACTAAGAGTCCATACATATTCTTTTAGGAATTTCAACAAACACGAAATAGGCATCAACACCAACACTAACAAAAAAACACAGAATACCTCCTTAAACTATAGTTTCTACAATTGATCCCAAAAAATAAACTGACACATAAATTAGAACACATTTTGTTATAAGGATTTCCAATCGAGATTAGGTCAGATATACTCGGCGTTGAACGAATCCAAAGTGGTTGATATAAATAGAGAAAGAAAAAAAAACATATACAGCAAGTGGTAATATTAAAAACAAAATCGGAGAGAGCGTTTACCTTGTTTGATTAACAGTCTCGATCATCCCCATGGCCAGAGGCGTAGACGTGTCTCTTTCACACTCTTCTTCTTCGCCCAGTCAAGTCAATATAAAAAAATTCAAAAAATCGCCTGTGTTTTTTTCAAATTGCATGAGAAATCGAAATCGAAATCGAAATCGGTACCTTTTGAACCAAACCATAACCACTCACGCAAGTCGATCTCAAACCCTATGGAGAAGAAAATTACCTGCAGCGGCAATCCAATTATGTATCTCTTCCTTCACTTGCTGATCAATTTGAAGATCTTCACGGCAAAAATGGCGACGGCGCAGATCATTCCCGGTGAGAGTTGG